ACTCATTACACAAATTAGGCGTCACTGTTGTGAATCATGTAAATTTGTCTTGACAAATTGATTCCGCCATTTTGTCCAACCACGGAAGGGCGCTGTGGGCGTCTAAAATATCAGCGGTATACCAATGGATCTTATGCTCAGCGAGGGAAAGTTTGAAAAATGGCGGACGAAATTGTGTTGAGCTTCCATGACAGTCTTCTCAAAAAATCGGACCTTAGCTTGCTCGAGGAAGGTCGTTGGCTGAATGATAGACTGATAGGATTCGTATTTGAGTGAGTTTTTTGTAGTTGTGGGAAATCTGATCGCAGATGCAGCGTACATTTTCGCTTGCGTAGCGTCAACATGCAATCTACAAGGTTGCATTTTATCGGGGGAGAAGTTTTCACTTTGAACTAACTCCAGAAAACTTGTTTGATTGCAGTTACTTTACTCATAACAAATTTAAACAGATATCAGATATTGCGATCTTTATCAGTCCTGATGTCACGCAGTTCTTGAAGCTTGGGGAAGGTAAGACATACGTCTTGCTAACTTCGTTTTCCAGATCCGTAACGTAAAGTTACGTTGCGAGTTTTTTCCACCTGAATTTATGGTCTAAGCGCGAAGCGGGCGGGAAAAACGAGGTTCAATAAGTTACGATACAGACCGCGAAAACGGAGTCAGTGAGATATTTTTATTATATCTCTGGGTTCAATTAGAGGGGTAAGATTTCGATTCAAACGATTTTTTGAATTAGCGGGCCGCACACTAAAATGCGGCACGCTAAATTGACCAATCATGGTACGTACGCGAACTGAGAGATATAACGAATGATTGAAGAAGTGGGATGGTAATGCAGCTACATGTAGGGTGTTTAGTTTTGAAATTTTTTTTGCATCAGTCTTAAGGTTGTATCTTTGTCATAGATCTACGTTGAAATATCCTTGTGATGAGGGAATACAGCATTTATGTTATTGATTATTGTTTTATTTTTTGCTGCAGGCCTTGAAATTGGTATTTTTCTGGAACCACTTGATCTTCCGAGTCGAAAGCTGATATTTTTTGCCGTGAATGACAATGATTCCAGACATTCAGCAGGGGGATCTCACTGGTATACAATAAGCATCCTTTACTAAATGTGTTTCCTCAGCTGAAACAGTTTATTGATCAAAAACTAGTTTTGAATTTTGTTGTATCTCGGAGAGCCATTGAACTAGCTTTTGAGCTGAATTTGACTTTCCTTACTATCTACCATACAACTCTTATGATGTCAGCTCTGAGAGTTTGGTAATGGATCAACTTATAATCCCCAAATTGATATTTTCTCTATTCTCATCACTATACTACTTGATATTGTATCAATATTGTTAGGAGAAATTCTTCTTTGGTCATTTATGAGAGTTAAAGGGTGAAGAAAATAGTTATCCAATCAAAATAAAATCAAGCTTTTTACAAAAGACTGTTGCAGATTGAGAGTAACTGATGATGAAAAAAACAACAAGGTGGTATTCAATAGCTACAAGGTTAAAGCACCTTGGAATGTGTAGTATCTTATTGCATTATAAGAAATCCTCACATTGTAGTAGTGTAGTATCATTTTTCAAATAGTCCTTTGTCACATTCCAAATTGTTTTACCTCAGTCTAATACTTATGTCTAAGTTATAAAAAGTAGTGTAGGAATCTATAATCAGTGACAAAATTGTTGACACATTGACCTTTTCAACCACCCATTACTTCAATCTTATCTCTTTTGCCCTTGTTAAGTTAACCTATTTGCTGCCTTCCCCCCCCCCTCAGAAAAAACAATGTTGTTTCAACTTTTAACTACATACAGGCAACGTTGAAGGGGCGGTCCTGTCAAAGATTTAGAGCATGGAAGGAACAGGAGTGTTATTCAAGATATAAATAGAACTCTTCAAACATGATGTGTCAACTAATTTTGACACTGATTGTACAAGCCTAGATTAAATTTCTTTATATAGAGTTTGATATAAACAGCTTATGTATTTGATGAGTGTCTAATTAACAAATAGATTCCAAGTTGCCATGCGTCTGTTCGGTAATAGATCACAGATGACGTCAAAATGTGGTAAAAACAAAAAAAGTGGCACATGAGGCACAGCCGAGTGTGTCTCTGATGTTCTTACCACATTTTGACGTTCTCTGTGATCTATTGCTGAACAGACGCACGGCAACTTGGAATCTATTTGTTTTATATAATAAACAATTTAAAAAAAGTTTTAATGATGACATCATCTATATATCTGTCCTCCAATAGATCATAAGTGAGAACCAATCAGAATGCTTGCATAACTGAGCTTATTATGTAATGTTTGATTATTAATCTAATGCTTCTATTGACAACTAGAAACTTGTGTGTTTACCAGGAGCTTGCTGGCATACTACCGAGAAACAAACAGTTTTCATCATTGTGACTCATCCAGTTCATTTAATACTTCAGCTGCTAGATCTCTTGCACAAAATGTGGAACCTTTTTTACACTGTAGATGTAAGTGTTATTTTGATCACTTTAGACTACATGCAACTTTCTGTCATAGATTTTCTCCTCCCACTTATGCACAATGTTTCTCTGTTTGTTTTTTTAAACAGCAGGGCAAAACCCAAGCTTCAAGGAGGACAGATGCCCTCAACAACAAAATGGTTGTGTTTTGATGTAACACCATATTTCATTTAGCCTCTGAACAATTAAGAGTTAAAACTAGTAATGACCTCAATACCGGTTAATTGAACTCTCCCCATGGCATGTCAAACCTCCACTTTTTTCCCAGAGGATAGTGCAAAAATTTTACATGACCTCTCTACAGGATGCTAATCTATTTCTATGCAGTTTGTCAAGAATCCCTGACAGTTTGTGGTACCCTTTATTACTCGTTAGTGGATTAGTTCACTGTTGAAGGGATAAGGTTTGGCTCAAAACTCAACATTATGACTTGGCCAGGGCTCGATCATGGAGTTCTCATTGCAAATTCTAGTTTGCTAATCTCCAAGCCATTGTGTTTCTCTCTGTTAACCCTTAACACCACAACATCGGTATGCATATTCTAGATACTGTTTTCTGACAGCAATAATTTGTGTAACAATCAAGTACTTTTTTAGTTGGTGGTCATTTCTTCAACCCTTTAAACCCCAAGAGCGACTAGCATCTAATTTCTCCCTACAATATCATCCCTGAATCACATATTGAGGTTGTGAGAATAACGGAGATGATCACCAATGAAAGAAGCTTTTGATTGGTAGGCAAATTCTCCTTGTCAGCACCTTAGGAAATGTATATAGAACAGTATAGAGAATTTGCATACTGATGTTAGGGTGTAAAGGGTTAATTAATCCCTATGACCCTGTTTGAAATTAGCTCTGAGTCATCCTTAGGGTTTGAAACTTTCTAATGTGGCTTCATATTTCAACAGGTTATGACTGTGGTCTATATGTGGTTTGCATCACTGAACAACTCTGCACCAACTTTATGAACAATGTGAAAATATCTCTGAGTGATACCTTAACTCCAGAAGACATTAGGAAGAAAAGAAAAGCATTGAAGGAACTTGTGCTCAGTCTTGGAGAGAAGAAGACATGATTCTGAAATTTGCAGCAAGGAAATTTAGTGTAGCTTTCCAATGGAAGTATTTAGCTTCAAAGTGATGATAAAATACCACCCACAAAATGGAAATCACCTCTGAAAAAAGCAGAACATATAATTAATTATACACTCGTAAGATAGTGGAGGTCTTTCAGCAACACAAACTTTAGATTTCTCAAGATTCCTCCAAATGCAGTTTGCATCCTGTTGGCTTATTACCATATCTCGAATACATTTTGCTAGTAATTTTTCATGGGAATTTGAGATAGCAGGCATCTTGTGTTAGGGAAGGAGAGGTTAGTTAATCAGTTTTTAGGTGAAGGAGTGCTGTGATGACTTGTGAAAACTCTGACCCTGTTTGGAACCAAGAACATGGAGAGAGACAAAAATAAATAAGTACCCTGTGTGGGACAAAGCCCTCTGTTTTTTAACCTTGTTTAGGTCAAGGGCAGAAAGGATCTTTTAAGCATTCTAAATTTTAATCAGCAACAGTTATAATGAATACCCACATAAATATGAATTGTAATTCATACTTCCTGAAATGTTTCTGGTCTGAACAAGCTATACACTATCTATGACCAGTTCTTGTCAAAAGAAATATACCTCTTCTTGGACAGACAGGCATAGAATGCATACTTTGTTGAGCCCCTGACTCGTAACCCTTTCACTCTTAAGATCTCATTAGTAATTCACCTTACACTCTGCCATACAATTCTTATGATGTTGGTGGGGAGAATTTGGTATCAGGTCAACTGATAATCACCTAATTGATATTTTTCTTTCTCATCACTTGTCTGCTTGATATTGTAAGGAGAAATTCTGTCTTGATCACTCAGTATTTAAGTGTCAAGTAACTCTTGAAAGGATACCTCCTTTCTCAGGGTACTGCACTCTTTTCTTAGTTATCTCAGCAGGAGGTCTGTCAATTCTCCATAAGTTCTTTGTACAAAGTCTTTCACATGGAAGTTTACTTCCAAGAGTTTGGCATGAAGGCTCATTTTGATTTGATTTTCTGATTAAAAGCATGGTGCTGACAGATAGTTGGGTGGTTAGTTTTGTTGACAAAAAATATCCTGATGGGAAGTCAAATGCTATAAAATTTCTATGAGCAAGAATTCACATGTTCACTGAAACAAACTTTTTCAGCATACATTTGAAAATAACTTTTGTGGAATTGAGGTGTTGCAGCAAAGGCCTTTCTTCTGTTTTAAATATTGTTTTTGTGAATAATTTTCTCATGGAAATACCTCAGACTTCTGTTAAAAATATATGTATTTAAAAAAATCAAACAAACAAAGTACTCTACCATTTAATGTGGACGGAATAAACCAAATTACGCAACTAACTAACAATTCGAGAGGGCTTGAGAACTAGAATGTATCCTGTTTTCGCAGTCACTTCTTACTTCCGGTGAATCTTAGAGTCACGTGAATCGGTAGGAATGGCGTTCGTAGTTAGGTCTAGGTCTATTTAGGGAAATACAGTTTTTAACAATGTCAGAACTACTTTTTAAGGTGATCATAATAGGTGATGCTACCGTAGGAAAAACAAGCTTTGTCAAACGTTATGTAAATAACCATTCAGGACCAGGACGGGAGTATAAACCAACTGTAGGAGGTAGGTTGTGCTTGATCACGTCTACAATTTTTCTGGGAATTTTTTATTTTCTTAGACGAGCCGGATTTATTAATTGTCTGTCAAAAACTTCTATTATAGCTTTAAACTGAGATTGTCTTGCCCTTCTTTGGTGCGCTAAAATAAGGACTTAAGTCGGTGAAAGTACAGCAAACATTTCTAAGTTGTACATTTGACATGTCTTGAATTGAAGAACAAAAAATTCCCTCACGAAACTTCTTTGAGGTATTGTGTGCATTTCGGTGGAGGGGTCATTTGGTCATTTCCTGTTATGCGTTAACTGGAGAGATGTTGATTTTCCAGGCTATTAATAATAGAAAGAGTCCGAATTTTTCGAGTTGAGCTATTGATGTCATGGAAAACGTTTAGTTGGTGGTTGGGGTGGTCTCGCGATGATGGCACCACAATTTTTATTGGTACCAAGATGTTTCTGTATTTGTTTTTCTGTGTTTATAACCCATGATACACAGTGTTTAAATATACCATAAAAATGCAGTGTTCCTTGTCATGCGAAGTGGAAGGGGTACCTTTTTGGTCCTAAATAAAGTATCTCCACGGAGAACAAGCACTTATTACACACTTCCGAGTTCAATCTGTAATCTCCGCCAAATATTTTTGTTATCTTTTATGTATCTTTGTTGCAGTTGATTTTGCTTTGAAAGTCATCAAATATTCAGATGATACTACAATACGACTTCAGGTGGGTAGTATTTTTATAATTAGCAACAAATTATCCAACTGATAATTTTTTAAATATTTACAAATTTAAGCTTTTAACTCCCAAGATCTCATTAGTAATTCTCCTTACTGTCTGCTATACAATTCATATGATGTTAGTTGGGAGAATTTGGAATCAGATCAACCAATAATCCCTCAATTGGTAATTTTCTTTATTCTCACTACTTGTCTGCTTGATATTAAACTGATGGTGTAAGGAGAAATTCTGTCTTGGTCATTAGTGGGATGTAAAGGGTTAATAAGGATAGTTTAAAATAATTTTTAAATTTTTTTTTACTACAAGCTTCCCCCCCCCCATTTGGCAAAGTCCATTGTATGGTTGGAAAAATAAGCGAAAAAGTTTTGATTGACATGTTGTATGAAGCTCTGGAAGAGAGGTGCAGTGTGCCAACCCCATTTATGTTTTTGCTGATTTTTTCAGACTTACACAATAGGCCTTGCCAAAAGGGAGGCACTGCTCATAATCTATTTTGTTTTTAAGTACATTTTGCATTTCATTTTGTTTTATTCCACACTAATTTTCCCTTTTTTTTTGTTTTCAAAATTTGAATGATTCATGAATGTGAATCCATATATGGTTGTACAGTTGTGGGATATTGCTGGTAAGTTGACAATTTTTTTTCCACATTTTAACTAGAAGAAAGTGAACTTTTGAGCAGAGGATAATTTACTTAACTTTTTACCTCCAAGATTTAATTATCAATTTCACATCATCTGCCATACTTTTAGCAGTCAGCAAGAGAAGTACCCTTCACCATTTCACCTCTCACCTCTCACCTCTCTCTATATCCCTTTATCCCTCCCCCATGAGATAACCTATACACCTCACCCCTGCCCTGCCCCACCCCTTTCCTTATCTGTCAGTCATGCAGGTTTTGTAAGGGCCTCCATATGCATGTAAATAACAGGTATCTGTTAACTCTTATTTGACATAAACTGTTTACCCTCTACACCCTAACATCAGTATACATATTCTCCACACTTTTCTTAATATATTTCTTAAGGTGTACACAAGGAGAAAATGTTTCAACAGTTAAGGGCTATTTAATTGTTGATCATTTCCTTTATTCTCCTGACCTTAATGTGTGATTCAGGGGTGATATTGTAAGGAGAAATTAGATGTAAGTCAAAATTAAGGGTCAAAGAGTTGAGAACTAATTATTATTCTGACTTAATGAACATCAACAATTTTCAGGACAGGAAAGATTTTCAACAATGACAAGAGTCTATTACAAGGGAGCTGCAGCTTGTGTCATAATGTTTGATTTGACCAGTCAACAGACATTTAATAGTACAATAAAATGGAAGAGAGACCTGGATAGCAAATGTACACTTCCTAATGGAAAGACAATCCCATGTATATTAGTAGGAAATAAGGTGAGTTATAAGCTAATCAACACAATCAATTTAGGAAATAGATCCCATTTTGCCATGCATCTTTTCAGTAATGTGGTGAGAACAAAGAGTGGGACACAAGGCACAAGTGACTGTCTTACTAACTAGTGATATGCTAGAGTAATACCATGTCATCTTGCTGTAAGAGGTTATCCAGTTGTAATATTTGTCTTCACTAGGGCCTGATGTGAAAGCTCAATACCAGCTCCATTATGATTTATAGATATGGTTATTCCTGCTTTCAGTCGACATCTCTTTGGTTAAATTATATAATTCAAATTTCACCATTTTTCTTTTCATTTAATCTTCAGAGTGATTTATCAAGCACAAGACCCATTGAGAAAGAAGCGATTGACAAGTTATGTAAAGAAAATGGCTTCTTGGGTTGGACAGAGATGTCAGTCAAAGAAGATGTCAATGTATCAGAGACAATGGAGTAAGAAAGATTTTGGTTTTTTTTTTCATCTTCTATGTTTAAATCTTCTTACCTTCAATGCATCTTAGCATGGATACTTCCTAGATAAACTACTTAGCTGATATACGAGTGTTGTAAAGGGGAGGGGAGAGATGGGGGGTTCTGATCCTGATTCACGCATGAATGTTAAGCTTAGATAAAATTGAAATGTTACATCTATTTTGGATAGTATTTCATCTCACAACTTCAAAGGGAAAACTTCAAATCTCACCTTACCTTGCCTTATTGAAAAATTAATGAGCCAGAAATTAATTTTGGGCTCAATCATGCTTCGCCTAAAAACCTTTTGCTACCCTTGCATGTTTATTCCATCTTCTCACTGGATAAGAGATTGATGATTTGAGGAGATGTTACAAGTTTTCACTTCAGGTACAGTGTAGTGAAGGGGTCATGTAACCATTAATTTCTACTTGAATTATTTTTCCAGTTACTTATTAGCAGAACTGTTAGACAGCTATAAAAACAATGAAGAAAAAGTTGCTCAGAACAACACCAGTACTGATCAAGGAGGATTTATTGAACTCACAAGTCACAGGATCACTAAAGAAAATGCCAGCAGATCAGGATGTTGTTAAGTTAGCTCATAAAAAATAGAATAACTGATCAAGATCTCTATGTTTGATTTTTCAACTGGTTAGAGCCTCCTTGTATCATGTGGGAGAATTTCATAGTGATATATCAAGGGTAGCCTGACTGTATATCAAGCATATTTTTTTAAAGTGAATGATTATGTTTTGAGGAAGTGCTGAAGCCACCATGTCAGAATTTTAAAGTTAAGAAATCATGGAGTGGGTGAAAAAAGTCTACTTGCTAGTGGGGGGTGGGGAGGGTGTACCAGTGAAGGGTAAAGGGGTCCAAACCCTTTCACTCCCACACTGGTTTTTTTTTTCACCAGGCCTCCCTCCTTCTGCCCTTTCATCATGGGGTCATGGGAGGGGGTTGAGGAGTGTACTACTGAAGGGTAATGGGGTCCAAACCCTTCCACTCACACACTGTTTTTTTTCACCAGGCCTCCCCTCTTCTGCCCTTTTATGGGGTGGTAGGGTATAATGCATATGTGTGATTATCATATAACCATCTAAATTATATTTTTGTTACAGGAAAAAAGGTATAGAGGGTGGGAAATCATTAATTTAGTTTCAGGGAAGAGGGTTTTATAGAAAATAAAATTAATGATAATGTATATAATACAGTTTATATCAGTGTTTCAGGAAAAGTAGGCAATATGCATTTGTGCATGTTTACGCAGAGCTTACATTAATAATGTTTGCAATGATCTTGATTTGCTAACCATGTACAGTCGATCATACCAACCATTAAGGAAATTTTGAGTCGTCACCAGTGCTTTCAAGCAGGCTGTATTCAATCTTTCATTCCAGGCATAAAATCATTTTCCCCTAAAATTTGTCAATAGTTTTTAAGAAGTATCATTGTTTTGCATGATAGTGGTTTTCACTCAGCTTTGTTTTTTGAGTGCTCATTAAATACTATAGCATGTAAAATCTACACAGTCTGCTTGCTGAATACAATTACATCACAAGGTTGATTTTTTTTTAATTTAAATGTCTTCTATTTTATAAAAAAATGATTAAACATACAAAGTAAAAAATGAAGATATTTATATTATGGAAGAAGAATTGAACAAAGAAAGTTTATGCAGCTGATCAGTCAATTCAATGAAGTGATTTGCAGTTGTTATAAAATAATAAGGAATTGCCTAAAAATTTATTTAAAAAATTATAACTTAGGCACTTGCATACAGAGATTTTCCACGTACAATTAAGATATTATTAAACGTTGTTATACAGTTTTGTCTGGGGTCTTAGATTCTTTATACATTCCTAGTTTAATATGACCTGGATTACAATGCATGTAATGTTATATTTTTCTTTATTCTCATCACTTATCTGATTGATATTGTATTGATATTGTTAGGAGAAATTCTGCCTTGGTCACTCATGGGAGTCAGAGGGTTAAGGTGCTGATGAGAAGAATTTGTTTATCAATCAAGCTCCTCAAGTTGATCATTTCCTTTATTCTCATGACATTGATGTTTGATTTAGGGGTGATATTGTAAGGAGAGATTAGATCCAAGTCACTTCTAGAGGAATGCGAGAGCATCAATACCTGTTCATCCATCTGTTTTGTGTGACCAATTTTTCATTTAAGTCAAGTTGTTGGTAAATAAGATATTTGAACAGAGATCATTGGCAGAAATTATTTGAGGGCTAAAATTTAACTTGAATAGTTCCAAGATTGTTTTTCTTTAATTTTGTGCATGATCATTTCTGTAGAACATTGCAGCTAAAATACTTCTCTCTCTGATAGACCTGAGGGGGGGGGAGGAGGGGATGATGTTGAACGAGGTCCGTATGATTGTCATTTTCTTTAGATGTTAGTACTTTTTCTGGTATTAAAGGAGTATGCACATTCAGATCCAATAGCCTCTACCCATATCTTTGCCATTCCCATTTCTCACCTGATATCAACTAACGCGGCATTTCGCATCTGGTGTCATTACGATTTGAATCGAAAATATAAACAAAATAGAAAGACGACTCGCTGTGAGAAATTTTAAAGGCAAGAGTGTAACGCAATAAAACTGCCTGATTGCAGTTGGTGCAGCCCGCTGACTACAATAACATTTCCACTACTTCCGGATGCTACCCGTCTTTTTTTCATTAATATTGAGAAGCATCCTCGACAATTTCGTACGCATCAGAAGTATTTTCGGGCGAAGTTTATTTCTGGTATGTCCAAGTTCCACAAAAGTGTAGGAAATTTTTGGCATCTTGTTGCTAGCGATTATGCCAACGTGCAAATTGCGCCAAATGAAAGTAAAGAAAATATTTATTAACCAGCCGCCTGTTGCTGATTAAGTTCATTTACGGTACAGTTTCTTGAGTTTGCTGTATTTGGCAGATGAACGTGTCACATTCAAAAGTAAATTATAGATGCAACGCAGAGTTTTTCCTCTATGACACTTCTTATGCCGAATGCGAAAGTCTAGAAACGAAACTATCCATCGCCCCCCTCCAAAAAAATTTGAAATAATCAGGGGTTTGTTAAATGAACGATTTTTTACGGTCATAAATTTTTCTTTAAAATTTATTTTAGGTGTTTATCATACCTGAGTTTTGTCACCTTTATTGATAAGGGAAGGCTTCAAAACAACTGAAAGTAAAGCACCTTTTTTTTTCATTTCTTTAATAAGAAATTTGGACGTGGAGGTTAATAGTACATGTTCTGTAGGACGGTGATAAACCGTTCCAGAGAACAGGTTAATAGTACATGTCAGTGATGAGACTTTAAAGTTATTTTTGTAATTTGGCATTTTCTGCTGACCAGTTATTAATGCCCTTCATTTTCGCTTTCGCTTCCGCTTTAAGTACTGTTCGCTTGTAACTGTCGAATGGTCTGTAGATTTGTTATTTCAGTTTTACGTGCAGTTTTCGGTTGGAATACCTTCCAGCATGTCCAAATTCAATGTAAAAATAGGCAAATGTGATGGCGCTGTCGTAATTGGGGATAGTGCGAATTTGACAATTGGGGCGACCCAAGGTAAGGTTTGTCACCACAAACATTTCGTTCTACATCGAGTTTGTCTTATACAATACGGTTTGGCTTCGCGATCGAACGTTCCCCCGTGAAGGAAAGGTTTTATAGAAAATGTGTGATGTATGTCTAACATGGGAAAGCCATTTAAATGCTACCTTGAAGAAGGCGGCTTATCAGTCAGACATGTTCTTCCTAACAGGATGGTAGGACGAAATCATTATACCGTTTCGCCGGGGCGTTACAATATTTCTTTTCGCCCTTACTTTAACTGAATTTTCCCAATTACGTTATTTTTCATAGACAACTTTTCTTCCTATTTATCTTACTCGAGCTAGATCACTTGAACCAAACCTCGCAAATGCATCGATGCAGGTTTAACAGGGTAAATTCAATTCGAAGAAGTTCAAAGGAATTTTGAGTTATTAAATCCGCGTGAAGTGTATTCCATTTTGTTGATCACGCTTGTTTTATTCTTTAATTTCACTTTCATCTTAAACAAGCGAAATAATTAGTACAAACCAGGTGAAAAAGAGGAATCATGAAAGAGAAATGAAAAAAACCCCTTTCACATTTCTTGAAATAGCAGCTAATTTCACATACTAAGGGATTGCATACGTTGGGGTCAAAGTTGAGGCATGGGCAAGGGGATCAATCTTGGGTGCCAGCACGCAAATTTCCCAGAAAAAATTTCTTAGAAAAACATAAAAAAAACAACTAATGTCTGGTAACATAAGCGAACGAAAATTTAAACGTTCATTAAAATCTGTGAGGGAAAAGAAAAGTAGGAAATAGGAAAAATTTGAGACTCTTTGAGCCCAGAGCTTTTTCAAGAAGAGGTATCCTGTTGGTTTACCTATCTGTTTTTAGATTTATCAATACAGTTATTTGCTTTTAGAACACCCTGACTTACTGGATCGAGTGAACGTTGTTAATAACTTAAACAAGACAACTTGGTTCTGACAGCCTGACAGCATGCCACTTAGTCATTACAACTTTCACACATGCATAGATGTTTGACTCCGATTTTGGGATTGCATCAGAATATATTTGTTCTGGGGTCTACTCATTTTCGGGGACTTTAGGCTAAGAAGGCCAAATAATATATTCCTCTTGCTAAATGAGTTTGAGGTCTGTAGTTTAACCCTTTCACTCCCATGATCCTTTTAGTAATTCTCCTTACTGTCTCCCATACATTGCTTATAATTTTAGTTTGGAGAATTTGGTATTGAATCATATGATAATCCACTAACTGATATTTTTCTATCTACTTATCACTTGTCTACTTGACATTGTATTGATATTGATATTGTAAGGAGAAATTCTGTCTTGGTTACTTCTGGGAGTGAAAGGGTTAAGTGACAGACCAGGTTTTTCCCACTTGGATTCATAGCCCAAGAGGTGTAAAATGTACAAGGCATAAATCCAAGCGAAAGAAAAAAAAAAGGTTCCATAACTTAAAGTACAGACTTAGAAAACTAGGTTCGTCATATATTTATAATATTTCTGGGTGGAGGAGACCTAAACTCAAACAAACTTACTAGTAGGTGGTACAGAGAAATATACCCTGCTAAATTGACCAATCAAAGCACATAAAGCAGCTGAGAATCTATAATAAGATACTTTAGATTGCAAATAGATTATTTTAATCCTTTACACCCTAACATCAGTATTCATATTCTCCATACTGTTCTCTGTACATCTACTAAGGTGCTGACAAGGAGAATTCATCTAACAGTCAAAAGTTTCTTTAGTTGGAGATCAATTCCTTTATTCTCATGACATTAATGTGTGGTTCAGAGGTGATATTGTAAGGAGAAATTAGATGCTAGTCACTGTTAGGGGTTAAAGGGTTAAAGTAACTAAAATAGCTCTTAATTTTATCAGGAATACCACAGAAACAGCATGTCCCAAGGGAAACAACAACAACAACAACAACAACAACAACTGGTGGTGAGTAGAGTTCCACAGTTAGTTTTTTAAATACCTTTCATGTCGAAGATCTTAGTATTTATTTAGGTCATTGCTCTATCTTCCATATATTTCCTACTAACAATTTTAGCTCTATTGATTGGGATTTAAATCCCACAATAACCCCTACTTTACATTTTGATTAATTTCTCCTCATCATTGTCGCACTTTATTTGTGGTCACACCTTGGAGCTAAACAGTTAACCCTTCAGCTCCCAAGATCTGATTGTTAATTCTCCCCTTTAGCTGCTAAACATTTCCTTGTAACTTAGTTATGAGAGTTTGGTGTTAGATCAAGACAACAATCTGTACCTGATAAGTTTGAGAATTCTCATTATCTCTTTGCTGGATAATGTATGGATATTACAGAGAGAAGTTACATTTTAATCACTCCTGGGAGTTAAAGGGTTAAGGGAGCTACTCAACTTTTTGTTCATCTACTAAAATTTAGCTTGGACTGTGCACCAAGCAGGGACCATTTTGGTCATCATGTTGAAGCTGCAAGCAGCCATTATGGTGGTACAGGAAAAAAAAAATCATAGTGTAGAGATAATTGTGTACCAGTTGTTATCTTGAGGAAGGAATGGCCCAAGAGCACAAAGTTTTTTCCCCTAAGAGAGGAGTGTACATTAAGCAACACCAGAACAAATAGAGACTCAAATAACTTGAAATAAAATTTATAATTGTTTCTTTAGCAGTTCATTCACCTTGTCAAGAGACTGGGGATGATATCGATTACAAGGCAAAGTCTGGTTATGTACTGGTAATTAATAACTACATCTTCCCCAAGAGGCCAGATGGTGAACGCCATTGGTCAGGAGAAGATGTGAAAGGTCTCAAGAGTCTCTTTGATGATTTTAATTTCACTACCAAGATTCATGACAACTTGGAACAAAGAGAAATCAAAGGATTACTGCAAGATACATCAGAGAAAGACTTTGGCAGATATGACTGTTTTGTTTGTGTAATCCTTAGTCATGGTTCTAAAGATGGAATCTATGGCACTGATGATAATTTAATCAACATTGAGGCAATTACTTCCTGTTTTCGCCGAAATGAGTGCCCATCTCTTGAAGGGAAACCAAAAATATTTCTGATCCAAGCTTGCCGTGGCAGTGAACAGGATAGGCTAACTATTGAGAGCGACAGCGAGCCTATTCCACGCGCAAGCTCATCTCTGCCAGCTGATGCTGATTTTCTGATCTGTTTTGCCTCAGCTCCCAATCATCAAAGCTACAGGCAGCCAGAAATTGGTTCTTGGTTTATTTCAGCAATTGTTAAAGTCTTCAAAAAGTATGCAGAAAGAGAGCACCTCATGGATATGATGCTGAGGGTCAATGACCGTGTTGCTAATTATTTAGGCCAAATGGGCCAAACAAGCCTCAAGCAAATTCCTTGCCAAGTCTGTATGCTGAGAAGGAAAGTGTTTTTCAATCCTACTCATAACACTCCATGAACTCTTTTCAATAAATGTTGTTATGTGAATGAGTTTCAGGTTATTTGGAAAAAAATTGTTCAATATTTGAAACAAGTTTGGAACAAGGAAAAATCTGAGTACATCATTAGAATTTAAACTACTGGTACAGCTAGTTCTTGCTTTGTGATGGTAGACTAGGCAGTCCACTTCTGTTGACTGGATGCATCAAGGAAAATTGAAAAAGGTTTGAGTTATACATTGTCAAATTGTCAATGTACTCGTCAATCAAATTTTCTTGCAGTGTAGAGGAGTCTAGTAAAAAATAGAACATCCAGAAGTAGCAGCTAAGCTAGGCAGGAGAGCTCTGTGAAAGCACAATGCATTGTAGTTTAATGAATCCTATGTCTGCAAAACATAACTGGATTCACAGTTGTTTTGTTCAGTGTCAAAGGAAGAAATGAGGAAGAGAACCATTTCTTGTTTCTCTGTAAATTCAATATTTTGAACTACAGTACAGTTTGTTTTGACTTTCCACAAATTGAAAGTCATATTGTTCAAGTCATGGAGGGTAAAATTGCATTAAAATTGACTTCATGAAGGGAAATGAAAACCGATTCAAGTTAGCAGGTGTGGGAGTTATTTGACCCTTTAACTCCCAAGATCTCATTAGTAATTCTCCCTACTGTCTGCCATACAGTTCTTGTGATGTTAGTTTGGATAATTTGGTATTGGATCAACTTATAATTTCCTAACTGATATTATTTTTCTTTACTCTCATCACTTTTCTGCTTGATATGGTATTGATATTGTAAGAAGAAATTCTGTATTGGTCACTTATGGGAGTGAAAGGGTTAGGGGTTGGGGGGGGGAGGGTATTTTAGTGAAGGGTAACAGGGTCCCATCCCTTCCACTTCCACACTGGTTTGGTTTCATCAGGCCTCCCCCCTTCTACCCTGTCATGGGGTCATAGGGTGTACTGCATATGTGTGGTTGTCATGAGACCATCTGAATTATATTTTTGTTAAGGAATAAAAGGTAGAGAGAGAAGGAAATCATTAATTTAGTTTTGGAGAAGGGGTTTTTCATAGAAAAGAAAATGAATGATAATGTATTGCAATACAGTAGGCAGTTTGCATTTGTGTGTGTTTACTCAGTGTATAAATTTGTAATCTTTGCAATGAGCTGATTTCAAATGATCCAGGTTTGCTAAACATGCATAGTTGATCATACCAACCACTGAGGAAATTTTGAGCTGTCACCAGTCCTTTCAAGCAGATTGTATTCAATCTTTCATTCCAGGTATAAAAATCATTTTCCCTGAGAATTTGTCAACAGTTTTTATAAAGTATCATTTTTTTGGCATGATAGTGGTTTTCACTCAGCTTTGTATTTGAGAGATCATTAAATACCATAGCATGTAAAATCTACACAGTCTGCTTGCTGAATACAATTAAATTATTAGGTTGAATTTTTTATTTAAATGTCTTCTATTGCATAAAAAATGAATAAACATCCAAAGTAGAAAAGATGAAGATATTTATATTAGGAAAGAAGAATTGAACAAAAAAGACTTGTCCAGTTGACCAGTCACTTCAATGAAGTGATTTGTAGTTGTTGTAATAAAAGTAATATGGGAATTGCTGGATAGTTTATAATAATCTTGTGAACTAGGTACCTGCACACAGAGGCTTTTCAGGTACAATGAAGATATTAAAGTTGTTATACAATTTTGTCTTGGGGTCCTAGATTCTTTACACATTCCTAGCTTAATGTTTCCTGGATTACAACACATGCCATGTTTTATCAGTTTCAATATCAAACTTGCTACCAGAAAAATTATATTATGTGGTGGTGGTAGGGGAGGGGCACTTGTGTCAACTTTTGCTGGGTATGTGCTGCTTGCCTCTCAGAGCCTGGACCCTATTTTAGTCTATTCTCTGCTCAATTGAAGACCCCAATTGTTTAATTTTTACTGGAATCATCCCATTTTTAAATCCCCAGTTACCAGATTTTTCATGTCCCATTCCCACACCTATGCCACCATATGCTATTCACTAAAATGAAAATGCAACCTCATTATAGGCAATCATGCAATAGAAAATTTGACCACATCCAGAAGCACATCCCTTTAAGCAAATTATTAAGAACCCCCTTCCCCCAATGGCTATGATTACAGTCAGAGGGGAGTAAGTTGCTCATGAAACTGTGGTGCTGCATCAGTGGGAGAATATAATGAGGTAATGTGTTGTTATCAACTAGACTGGAAATAGAAGCGATCCTCGCAGTTATGAACACTAATGAACTAGTAGCTGAAAAGGGCCTGAAAAAATTTTTGTTCAGGCCTTTTTTTCAACGGCAGTGCACATATATGATTTTCATATATTTACAATTATTATCAACTGAGTTAATAACGTAGGTTGGCCACCATGAAGAGTTTCAAATCTGACGTTCGGAGCATTAGCCCTTCGTCAGAGCAAATGATGAAGGGTAAACGGTCAAAATATCAGCCATGAAATTCTTTACAGTGACCAATTTATGTTATCAACTCAGTTACTAATACCAAATTATTATGTTTACAGTTACTTAATATGCATTTACTTGATTATCCCTCAATAGTTTAATAATCAACGTATAATGTGAATATCACGAAGTATTCCCAACAGTATCCATAAACCTGGCTAAGATTAAGCAGTTCTGACCTCTGACATGAGGGAGGTTGGGGGATGGGGAGGTAGAAGGTGGTCCTTCACCAGCATAGGACACGGTCATTTTCTCAAATATTAGTACTCTTTCTGGGATTAAAGGAGTAGACATATTTAGATCCCATAGCCTCCACCCATATCTTTTCCACGGCCATCTCTCACCTGATATCAACTAGCGCGGCAATTTTGCATGTAATCACGATTTGAATCGAAAACATAAACAAAACAGAAAGATGACTTGTGAGAAATTTTAAAAGCAAGAGTGTGACGCAAAACCTGCCTGATTGCAGTCGGTGCAGCCCGCTGACCACAATAACATTGCCACTACTTCCGGATGCTACCCGTCTTCTTTCCAACATCACGAAACATCCTCGACAATTTCGTACACATCAGAAGTATTTTTGAGTGAAGCTTATTTCTGGTATGTCCAAGTTCAACATAATTGTAGAAAATTGTTCGCAGATTGTTGCTAGCGATTATGCCACCGTGCAAGTTGCACCACATGAAGGTAAGAATATTTATTAACCAGCCGCCTGTTGCTAATTAAGTTCATATACAGTATTGTTTATTGAGTTTTGCTGAATTATCCCCACTCCTAAGAACATTTGAAAATTTGCACTATTTGCCAAGTGAACGTATCAGTTAAGCCAGATTTGGCGAAAAAATACATAGTAAACGCGACGCAGATTTTTCCCTCTATGATAAGTTTCCGTCGATTGCCAAAGTCTGAAATCGAAACTATCCACCCTCGAAAAATCGAAATAACCACACAAATGACGCTTTGTTATAGTCATAATTTTTTCTTTAAAAGAGAGGCCTATAAGGGCAACTGAAAGTAGAGAGCACCCTTTTTCCATCTCTAAAAAGAACCCATTTTATTCCCCTGGGCGCTTCCCCCGTTAGCATGTGGAAAGGGTTGCTTATGCATAGCCACCTCTCCCTCCAATCAGTAGGGACCTTAAGCAGTCAGGACGGCAACGCCAAGGAAGACTTCTATTAAAAAATGAAATTTCTACCTATAATTAGAATTTCAAAAATGGCTGCATGTGTTTACCGTCTCATACAGCGCCACACCTCAACTTCAGCATAACGTATCAAAAAAGCGTTGAGTTCCAAATAGAAATTAAAATAATTTGCCGTCGCGGTTTTGGTTCGCAGACGACGCAAATTGTGGTGATTTCACGTTGTTGTTTTGCATAGGACGGCTCAGAAATGTACAAACGCACGTGCTGAGCTATTGTTCTACCCATCATATCTTTTGTTTTTCCATGTCCTCGTTGCCGTCGCCGTCGTGGTTTGCTTAAGGTCTCTAGTAATTAAATAGAACAGGGGTCGATCCCTCCTAAATGCTAAATTTCAGCGTGAAGACTTCGAACGAATAACTCTTACTTGGTGTTTTCCGCTGACCACTTACAATCCCATCCTTTCGTTTATTTCCGCTTCGCTCCGTCGTTTATCGTGAGAGTCGTTACTTTGGTCTTTACGCACCGTTTTTGACTGGAAAACCTTCTAGCATGTCCAAATTCAATGTAAATGTAGAACAGTGTAAAGGAGCTGTCGTGGTTGGTGATCATGCGAAACTGACTATTGGGCCGACTGGTAAGATATCAGAAGGTACGCAACTTTCTCTGTTTGTGAGGGAAGTTTTCGATCGGTGCTTCGACACATGAATCAGAATAATTCATAACTTGTGGCTTGTTCGAAATATGATGATAATCTTTCATTTAAATACGTTATAGTGGGAACAATATCAAACCTGATTTGATGTAGTTTAAAATCAAAGAAAATCGATTTAGTATCAATTGTTAGCCAAGTCAGCCATGTTACCGGCCCACATCACGGCAAATTGCCTCTTTCTCCACTTAATTTTTCCGCCTCCGTTATTTTTCAAACATTACTTCATTTCCTGTTCTCCTGCTGGAACTACATCATCTAAACTAAAACCTCGACGATGCAGTACACAGTTTTAATTCGTTCACTTCAACTCGAAAAAATCGGAAGGAGCTTGAAGAGTTATACTCCAGGAATTAATTAATACGGTGTCATTTATGATAACCTCTTTTAATTCTGCATTTTGGCCCTTTCTTTTCATATGGGTTTTTGTTATACCGGTCAAAGATTTACTTACATCCTTGATTACTGAGAGAAACCTCCTAAGTGAAAATGAAATGAGAAAACCCCTTTCCAACTCCTAAAATAGCAACAACTTTGTAAAAGAGTAATCATGACGGTTGCATTTGCATTTATTTGCTTCACGAATCGCCTTCTTTTGAGATCTCAGGCTTAGGTAAACCGACTTTGAACAAATTGACCACAATTTTCCATTGTCTAGTTAGCCCTTTACACCCTCATATCAGTATAAATATTCTCCATGCCAGATGCCAGTCACTCTTGATATTGTATTGATATTATAGGGAGAGATTCTGTCTTGGTCTTAAAACCTTATTGATCAGAGAAGTGGCATGGAAAACCACAAGGCCTAGTCTGAGGTTTCACCTCAAAGTTTTGAATAATGTTGATGTCATTTTTATGATCAATAAGGTGAAATACATCAGAAAATTGTGTTTTGTGTTTTTTTTCAACATAGTAGGGATTATGAAGTATTGCCTTACATGTTGCGTGATTTCTGTTATCTGCAACCTAGCTAGCCTAGCTTGAAAATTTAGAAAGTTATTGTTGGAAGTCTACCTGATAGTAACCACAGATTATTACAAAGATAATTGACTGACTTTGTAACTTTGTTAGGAGTACTAAACCAAGAGCACACCCCAGAGCAAGCAGCAAGAACTAAAACTAGTCGTAAGTAGAGTTTATTTTTCAAGTTTACCCTTTCCAATGTCTGTTTTCTGGGCGGTCTGCCATTCATTTCTAAATATTTCAGCTCCAATAATGTAAATTAAGGTGAAATTTAACACTATTCTCCAAATTAAAATCTGGGTTAAATTTTTCAGACTTCTCATCTTTCTTTTGCTTAAAATTGTGTTAAGACTGTAAGGAGAATTTCCTTTATGGTCATGGTTGGTAGCAACAAGGTTAAAGGAGCTACTCCATAGTTTTACTGTCTTAACCCTTTAACTCCCAAGATCTGATTGTAAATCCTTGGCCGCTACCTTCTACACATCTCCTTGTAAATTAGTCACAAGAATTTGGTATTTGATTAAGTAACCATTTTTACCTGATAAGTTTATGTCTTCTCATAACCTGTTTGCTGGAATATGTATGGATGTTATAAGAGAAGTTACATGTTAATCACTTCTAGGAGTTGAAGAGTTAAAAAAGTAAGATCAGATCTTTTAATTGTCTCATATGTTTCCACTCTGTGCTTAGTCCTTCAATCCAAACAGAAACTTAGTCATTTGAATTCACTTATTCATTTCACTTATTTTTTTTCTAGCTCATGCACCTTTTCAAGAGTCTGGGGATGATATTGATTTAAAAGTAAAGTCTGGTTATGTGTTAGTAATTCATAACTACAGCTTCCCTAAGAGGGAGGAGGCTGTGCGCCATGGGTCAGAGGAAGATGTGAAAAATCTTTGTAGCCTCTTTGATGATTTCAACTTCAAAACCCGAATTGTAAATAACTTGACTCAAAGTCAGATGGTGGAAATACTCAGTGAAACTGCAGAGAAAGACTTCAGCAGATATGATTGTTTCTTGTGTGTAATCCTCAGCCATGGTTTCAAAGATGGGATTCATGGAATTGATGAGGAGGAGATTAAAATTGAAGCAATCACTTCCAATTTTCGCCGAGATGCATGTCCTTCTCTTGAGGGGAAACCAAAAATATTTCTGATCCAAGCTTGCCGTGGCAATAGACGGGATAGGGTATCTATCGAGAGCGACAGTGAGCCTGTCCCATGTGCAAGCTCATCTCTTCCAGCTGATGCTGATTTTCTGATCTGTTTTGCCTCTGCCCCTGGTCACCAAAGCTACAGGCAGCCAGAGCTTGGTTCTTGGTTCATTTCAACAGTTGTGGCAATTTTTAAAGAGTATGCAGAAAGGGAGCATCTTATGGATATGATGCTGAGAGTCAACAATCATGTTGCAAATTATTTCAGCAAAACAGGCCTCAAGCAAATACCCTGCCAAGTCTGCATGCTGAGAAGGAAAGTGTATTTTAGTCCAAAATATAATTAACCCATCATGAAATGCTCATGACAAATTCTGTCTTTGTCGTGTATATGAATGTTTACTTAATATGTTTGTGTAATGAGAAAATTGTAGATGAAACATTGCCAGTGTACCTGTCCACTGGAGCTCAGAAGCGTGGTTACATGAACTTTGTTAAATTCTCCCACAGACCACATCAGTAACACTGTATATTATGCTACAGTGTAATATATACAGTTCAAAATTTTCAATCCTTGCTGTATGGATGAAGTCTTTGAAAAAAGCAATGCTGATGCAGGAGTTTTAGTCTTATTGTAACAATAGTGGGTACACAAAGATAAAAATGCTGTTCACTAAGTCATAGAGAAAATTGTAGGTGCTGTTCAAAGATAGTTGTAAAGCAGTGTCTGATTCAGGATTTCCACTCCTCAAGAAGAAATAAAACAACATTTAAACCGGATTCACTCCTTTGAACTGAGCAATGAGTTAGCTTTGGTAAGATAAGTTATATTGATATATGGTAAGGTAGTCCTGGACTGGGTTGTTCAAAACACAAGTAAAGTGTTGGTGTAAATTTTAAATTTAGTTTTATAGCACTGCAAAAGAATTTTTTGTTTGGATTTTTCCCCATCATTTTTTTGTCATAATGAGATAAAACCCAATAAAAGCCTAAATCTTATATGCGCTCTTCTACACAAGAAATTGAAACCAATGTTTACTTTTAATCCTAGATTAACATTTACCCCCTTTTAAATAACCCAGCCCTGAGGTAAATCTGAGGGTTCCAATTGGTTCTTTCATGGTCCAGATTTTGCCACACAGACCGTCTTATATGGTCATGAGATGTGTAACTATTTTTGCAAATGCTGGTAATTTAAAAAAAAACAAGTTTGATGCAAGTACCATATACACTGTGTTAAGCTACATGCTAACCTTGCTTGATCAAGCTGTACTGTAGAAAAATTAGCCCTCAATCATTTTTGTATGGACCTTGCTGCCCTTTGGCCGTAATTCCACAATACTAGGCCAGTACTGCCCTCACACCTCATTAATAAGAAATTATAGTTGGGATCATCCAAGAATGATATCTTAAAATTTAGGTAATCCTTCCACAATTTATTATCTCTGGTTATGCACGAGAAATGGAATCTGCATACAGTTTGGGATTTTTTTTTAATTAACTGTCTTCTTAATCTGATGTTCTTATCCAAGGGAAGTGGTCTGAAGCTAAAGTCTAATTTCACATGAGAAATGCCTTCTCCCTTTTCCAGCTGAAAGAGAACTTCAAAACTAAATTACATGAATAAATATTAATGCAACCTTATTGCTATGCAAATGGTTATACTGTATGGTCATTCATTTGGGCTAAGTAGCATTTCAGTTTATAAAATATACTTGTACTTAAAGCTTGGATGTATAGTTTCTTTAAAAGACAGCAGTTTTCCAACAAAACAAAATGCACAAGCCTTGGGCAAATAATTTCTGAATAAAGACTGCACTGAGGACTTTGTTATAAACCTTTATCTCTAATGATTCTCCATCCTCCCTTCCCCCCTTCCCACCCCAGTGGAGGTAAATTATATCTGGGTGGAGAAGGGTCTATAGTTCATGTCAAGGTAACATAGAGGCATCCACATATCCCACAATATTCACATTTATTTGGTGATAAAGTGCACCCCATAACTAAATATCCCTGTAACCTCTTAATCCTTTAACTTCTGAGGCTGATTAACACACAACTTCTCCCTGAAATATCTGTACATTTTTCAGCATACATGTGATGAGAATGTCCAAACTTATCAGGTAGAATTTTTTTGCCTCTATCTTGCACCAAATTCTCAGAACTAATTTACGAGGAAATGTGTAGCAGCTGGAGGGGAGAATTACTGATCAGATCTTGGGAGTTGAAGGGTTAAAAAAAAAACCTTGTTTACCCATTACTAGTGTTGTACACCCACAGACACCCATGCATACCAGGAGCTGACACATGTACATACTCATGAAGACCTTTGCATACCCATAGATAACTCATCACACTCATAAAAATCTTTGTATACCTATGACGAGTTCCTTGCCTGAACTACCCAACAGGCCTAAACAGGTACACAGTGGAACTACGTTATCTCGAACTCTCATTACTCGGAATCCCCCCGGTAACTCGAACAAAATTCCGTTTTCCTTCACTCCATTATTCCAGTTATTTACTATCAGCTAACTTGAACCCTGTCTAAATCGTACCATTTCTGGTTTCCCTCGGGAATTCGAGTCAGCGGGGTCCTGGTGTCTTATCATTCTTAGTACATTCTGTCCATCAGATATGACATACTCTTTTACCGTGTTTTTGACCGCTGATTACTAGAAAGAGGACTCGTGTACTTCCGGGTTTGAGCGTTAGTGGTGGTTGCTAGCTGTTATCATTACTTTGTCACTGTGAGGAATGGGGATGTTACCACATTAGATAAAATTGTAACAATTTGCTGTGCCCTTGTAAATATTTGTGACTCAGTTGAACCATTCGAATAAACATTATTTATAAATCTAGTCAGCACGTTGACCTCTGGAATATTTGACTCTACGCCGCTTTTGGCACTCAGGACAGAACCAAGTCTTTGATTTAGGAAAGGCTTTCAATTTAAGACGGTCCAAGTGAAACCACTGATAGGGGCAATCATCATTATCACAGCCAACCACTTGGCCATGTTCTCCTCCTCTGCAATAACAGATGTCATCATCAGGATTTTGGATGAGTCACGATAAAATTTACCTGATCTCCCCCCCACCCCCATAAGGCTCTGCAATGTTCTTATGATCGTGGAGGTTAATAGCAGCAGTCACATTCTATAGTCTGCCCCGTATACCCTTGGGAACAAATGATCCCCCGTTGTTCCCTCAGAAAACCACGTGATCCCCAAATATCCTCCACCCTTCCCCACCAAGGTAATGAATAAAGAATAGTCCTTAAGACATTTCGAAATTCAAAATAGACCCGAAACACAGTCAGCAGGCGCAAACCCCATGATTCCACTTCCTTTACCTCTTGATGGAATGTTTGTCCCGTGCAAGTCATTGTGGCCTCTCTCTGAGAATTCTCGTCAGCTCCAAATAAAGTTTCAAAAACTTTGATTTCTGCTGAGTACCCTTGGAGGCCCATCCCTCGAAGCACACTCGGTCCACAATCCTGAGTAACAGCGGTTTTGCAAATTTAGTTAACAGATAGGTACTTCCTATATTATTTCTTTCAAGTAATCTATTGCGCACATGTTTGTAATTGTTAATTTGGTCTGAACTAACTGGAAAGGCTTATCTCGAAGCAAATTCACCCACTGTCATTCAACAGTCGCCTGAGTAAGGTGTAACAAGCGCGATTACAGATTACTATGGCCTTTTTCATATGTATTTTACCGCATATTTATTCATTGTTGAAACTTGGTTACAACCTTTTATTCAATAAAATGATAAAAAAAGACAATTGTCCAATTGTTTCCATTATTGTTAAGACACAAACCAGCTATAGAAAACCCAAAGATTAGAGTAAGATTTGAATAAATTTACCCCAAATGTGTTATGTGCCACCATTTTGAATCTCTCTAAGCTACCTGGCCACTCGTCTGTGACAAAACAAAGTCTCATTTTTACCCTCTTTCCTCCTATTGGAGACCTTAAAATGAATCCAATAAAGGTTAATCATTCTTGACTCGAGTGTTTTTTGGGATAAACAGGGGTGCCCATTCCTAAGGTGGGTTTTGAAGTCTTTTGGCTGGGCTACAGATTTATTTTCAAACTAGCAACGTTCTTTGCCAAATTATTAGCAAACACAGTGTGTGAGGATAATAACCAAATGGTTGGGTTATCCCCTCTGCAGCTGAAATAAGTTCATTTTTAAGCATACTTTTAAAGCAAGAATATCAAAATCATAGTTTCTGAAGCATACTTCTCCCAAGAATTTGTCATATGTATTGACCTTAAGTTGATCAAGTTTGGTTAGTAAACTAGTTGCATGAATTTTTTATTTGGTTCTAGTTGTATGACATGCAATAGGGCTTTCGATGCCCAAAGTTTAGTAAGTATGGGAAAGGGATGATTCAGAAATTAAAGTTATTGGGATTCATCAACTAAATTTAGGATTAATGCCTATATACTGGTTTTGATGTTGATTGGTAAGGATTTCTGACAGATGGATCAAATACCAGCACATTGAAATTGGGAACTGAGATCACACCACTAATGAAATGGGCAATATGACGGTTCAAGCAAGAATTTTTATTTATGCACTCCTTTTCTCTCTTCAGAAAGAAGGTGCCATAGAAGACATGTACAAACTTTTTGAAAAACAGTAATTCAACTGCTTCTGTGTATTTTAAAACAGATGTTCACCAACAGAGTGAGGAGCAACCTAAAAAGAGTGTGTGGAAGATCTGGAAGCGTCGAAAGCGGGGAAAGAAAAATGAGAGATATGGTAATGCAAGTCTAGAGGTTAACTGTAGAATGATATTAATGATTTTACTGCATATTTATTCATTATTGAAACTTGGTTACAACCTTTCATTCGTGATAATAATAATAATAGCACAGTTTATGTTCTTGGGCATAAATACATTTTGGGCCCTTCTAAACCTTCCTAAAGTTAATCTAACCCTCGCTTAGCGACTCGGGCTTAAATGACTCTGAGTCGGGCCCTAAATAATGCTCGCAAAACATAAACTTTATTGTTTTATTACTCACCTGCGATATAAACCATAGGCTAATTCTGTAGAAGGAGAGGAACAAATTTAAACGAATCTAAGCCTAACCTTTTTATTATCTTGTATTTAATCGTTTTCTACAGGCAGGTTTCGAGACAATGATAGTCAAGGAGGCGACTTGGCAGATGATGGGGTGTCAGTTTGAATAGTAACCTGATCATTTCCATAGAATTGCTGCACTGTGGATTTTAAAGGAAGGTCAACCTATTATTCTAAAACTGTTTGAATGTATTCTTCAAGTTTACCTTGTCTACGTAAATTTCAACAAAAGGAAGAAACATTTTTTTGTTTAATTCTTAGTGTCTCACCATACAATGCATATATTGAAACTTGAAATATGAATATTTTAATTTTAAAAGATCTTGCCAAGCTCTTTTGAGCTTTTAGTTTTAATATATGACGGGTAACTGACAGCATTGTTAATTTTTTACGTGAATTATTTGAATTACATGATATCTTGGGCAGATCATATTAGATTTGGTTCCATTAAGTTCAACTGGAACTGAGCGCGAGTTTTCCCAATGTAATTCCGTTATATATTGGATGCAGATAAGAGTCAGAAGCCTTTTGCATAATCCAGAATTGGTATGGAAAAAGTTTGGCAGGTTTTGACTGAATAAGGTATGAGTTCATAAAGAGCGTTGTTAATTGTATATTCCGCTCAAATGAATAAAGTAAAATTAGACGCACGAGAGGAAGTACCTTAAGCAGGGCTATGGACGGGGAAGAAATAGTGCAGTAACGATTATTTACAGATACAAATTTCCTTGATTGCCTTGTTCATAATCTTTCTTAACAAACTTCATCTTTGCTGACAGGTGAAATAACTTAGAAGTTTTTGCGCTCTTTTCCGTGTCTGAGTGATCAAACTGCCCCGTAAGCTTTTAGTTTTTCCTGCTGTCTGCACATAACTGTTTGCTTTTACAATATTAACATAAAAGATACTTTAGCCATAAGTAGTTCGATGAAAAAAGAGTTACCGGACGTTGTCTTCTTTTTTAGCAGTTAGTTTATTTTAAGTAGTATATCGTGAGTAATGTGTTGTTAGTAATCCAAAGAACACGCTTTCAATGAAAGCAAAATTATAAAAAAAGAGAATTAGTCACGCAATCGGCTGACACAAAAGAAATGAGTTACTAACTGGGCTGTACTACCATCTGAGCTGTGAAGCTGCATTGTTTGAGCAAAGCAATGTCTCTAATCTACTAAGGCCAATGCATTTAATTTTTCATCGTTGTCCTCTCATTTTCTCTTGATTGTAACTTCTGTTTATGTCCTATA